GTACATAACATCCGTGTCCATAATATCACCAGGGTCCATAATATCGCCACCTTGAGAAAAAGTGTGCTGAAAGAGATTTTTACTGCAACATACCCTAGGTATGTACATTTGAGGTGTGCAGGAGTGCATACCAAAAGTATGTTGCAGTAAAATTATCTTAAAGCACACTATTTCTCAAGGTGGTGATATTATTGACCCTGGTGATATTATGGACACAGATGTTACATGACAGTCAACTTCAATGCTGTGTCATTTCGTAAGACATTGCTGAAAAAGTCTGCTAAGACATTTTGGAAATAGCATGTCTATGCAGGTACCAAGATTCTGGTGGCCAATATATTATGTGGCGCACACCTTAGTTCACTTTCTTATGACAGTTACAATGATAGAACCTGACCCCATGCAAAACCATGAAGATTGTGTTGATGACTTTCTTGTCTAGTTTTGTTTCTAGAAGATAAGACAGTCAATAAGAAGTCCTTGGGATACCTTGGAGGCCATTGACTCTTGTAGAAGGTCAGCAGCATCTGTGGAAGGTCATTGATGTTGCTTCTTACATTGTACCTTCAGTTTGAGTCTTGCCCATGGTGGTCTGAGATTACATGCTTCTAATCATCTCTAATTAACAAAACCATTCATCTCCCTTAGAGAGCATCAAACAACTCAGTGAAGGTGAATAGGTAATATGCATAGAACAAGTACAGATAAGAAAACAGAACTGGAAGTGATAAGAAAGAAGGAGTAAGCTACAGGCTCCTCATTAACTCTGATAAGCTAGCTGTAGCTTCATTCTGTCAGGCTTTTTATCCTTAATATCCATCATCTCTCCACTGTTTGGGGTTTTTCCATTATACTCCTTTACTGGTGTAATTTTTGCAACACTTTTACTTAACATTACATATCATGTCATGCAAATTCCTTGAGCACTCAGTGGTTCAATGTGCGTTGGAAATACATGGAATATTTGACCAAAGCAGGCTTGCTTCATATAAAAGATGGGTACCTGGAAGCTCTACTTGTTGAATTTCTTCTCTCCAGTCAGCTGGCACAAGTAAAACTTATCTTTCAGTACTAGTAGTGAAAAATAGCCTAGGCCTGCACTGTGCCTCTAATTTATTAGAAGTGTAGAAACTTGCGTCTTATCTAGTGATTGCCAATTTAAGGTACTATGGTCCCAGTAGCCGCACACATTTGAGATGTGTAATCCCCCACATGCCATAACCATAAAGGGAACCATGATGTCTTTCCTCCCTACGTTTGTTTCAAAAGATAAGAAGTCCTGCAGATTTGTAGAAGGTCATTAACACATGCAGAAGGTCGTTTATTGCTCTCACTCTTCTCACTCGTGACATTGTATAGATGTCAAGGATGGTCTCATTAACATAAGTGTATTTTTTGGGAAACATTGAAGACAGTAGTGTCTGATTTAATGAAACTGCCTCTCCTAGATACTACTTTTATGCTCTTGTTGGCTTTAAGTCACCTCTTTTTTTTTTTTAACAAATCTTTATTCACCAGAACAAAAGAGCGTACAAAAAGACAAACGATTAAGCCACTTCTTGCATTTACTCTCTCACATGCTAAATAAGGCCTCATACATGTACCTTAAAATGCAAAGGAGGAAGACTTTTACGAAACTTTGAAGTCGTTGGTGTATAATGGAATGGCCCTCCCTATGCACAAGCTATATGTATCTCATTGATTGTGTAGTACTACCTTTCTACCCTGTTTACCTCCTGACATCAGAGAAGATACAACCTTCGCCTGCACAGGACTGTAAAGAAGATCATGATGACTTTCTTAGCTAGTTTTATTTCAGAAGAAGGTACACGTACATATATTTTTTTAGAAATCCTGGGGATTTTCAGAACGTTTTCAACACTTTTAGAAGGTCATTTGTGCTGTATAATGTATAGCCTCATGCTGTAAAGACAATGTTAGCACCCTTTTGGAGATGCTGTTTGATGTAATGAAATTGCCATCCCAAGGTACTACATGAAGGTTGTCTTGGCTGTAAGTTGCATCTAACAAAAAGCTGCTCGCCCGATGGCAGACAGGAAGTACAACCTTGCCTTATGCAGTACTATAAAAAAGATTACAATGTCTTTCCTACCAAAGAAGTCTTTGAGATTTGTAGAAAATTACACTTGTATAGAGGTCATCTTTAGGCAATTCCCTTTGGTTTCACTTTTGGGAGGATAGTAGGAACTGTGCAATAAAGATTGGTACTCAACCTTAGACTTGGACAGAGTAACGATATTTTGAAACAGATGTGAATTAAAGTCTTAAAATTTGGATTCAGGTTTTCCTTTGATAACTCTTTGCCGTTGATAGATAGAGAACAATATTGATACTTGTCAGAGATAAACTTTATTAACGTAGGACCAAAAGTAAGCTTGCCAAATAGTATGCATATGACCTGCATTCATTTGGCAAATATCAGCCCATTCTACTGCTAAATATCACGTATTAAAGTAGTAGAACTGCATTTAATGTGATTATACAATCCATAATCTATTGCCTTCTGTCCAGGTACAAATTACTGAGTGACCACTTTGCTTGCTTAGCCACTTTAACAGGCTGTAAATGGCTACTTAAGTGGCTTTGTGAACTGGGGCAAGTGTCAGACAACCTTTGGATTAGTACTAAGTGCTCCAGTATATGATGCTTAAGGTAGTTCTCTAGCCTCTAGGTAGGCTGAGGATTTCTGAGGTGGCCTGTAGTACTGTAGAGTTTTTATAAAAAAAACTTACATTTGGAACGTTTTTTTTTTCAATCATGCAGGTGATGTACTGTATCAACATGATGCTGG